GTCTCCTGCTTTGTTTGCTATAGCATTGGAACCCTTGGCTGTAAAAATAAGAGCACATTCGCGGATACAGGGTCTCATTGTTGGAGGTGTGGAGACTCTCATTAGTTTGTATGCTGATGATGTGATCCTGTATTTGCGCAATGCTGAGGAGTCGGTTGCTCCCCTTCTTGATTTAGTCGCATGTTTTGGCAAAATATCTGGTTACACAATTAACTGGATGAAAAGCGAGTTTATGCCACTGTCTCAGGCTTCAACAAACTTTCTAAAAAATGTTCCATTTAAAGTAGTCAATGACCATTTCACTTATCTGGGGCTAGTTATTCCAAAAAACCCTAAATTGATTTTTAAATTAAATTTTGTAGAGTTTGTAAAGGGACTAAAACAAAATATCGAATTATGGAAGATTCTCCCTCTCTCTATGGTGGGCCGAATTAATTCCATAAAAATGGTTTCCCTTCCTAGATTTTTGTACTTGTGCCAAAATTTACCTATTTGTCTAACATCTGCCTTTTTCAAAGATTTAGACTCGTTAATTATTTCCTATATTTGGAATAACAAAAATGCAAGGATTTCCAAGATACATCTACAAAAATCTAAAGCAGAAGGGGGGCTTGGTTTGCCAGTGTTTAAGCATTATTACTGGGCTGCCAACCTCAGGGCGTTAATGTTTTGGAGGAAGGCATCCCCTGGCAGTCTGGATTCAAGGGCCCCCTTGTGGCTGAAAATGGAGGTCGGATCTGTAAAAGATTCGTCTTTGGATGCAATTCTCTATTCTAAATTTGACAAGTCTGAATCTTTTAGAAATCAATGTTTTGTTTTGAAGCAGTCTATTCGGATTCTAAACCAGGTCAGGAGTTTTTTGGCCCTACCAAATACCTCTGTTCAAACACCTATTTGTTATAACCATTCATTTTTGCCTCCTTGGAATGACAGATATTATCATGACTGGAGCGAGAGGGGCTTAGCTGTACTTGAAGATTTGTACATAGATGGTGAATTTGCATCATTTGTCCAGCTGAAACAGAAGTATAATCTTTCTCATTCAAATTTTTTTCGCTACTTGCAAGTCAGACACTACATCCAATCTAGAATTCCAAATTTTAGAGAGCTTCCTATGGAACACGATTTGTATCATGTTATTAAAAGCCCTTCTCGCTCCAAACATCTTATTTCAAAGATTATAAATGTATTCAATAATGGAATCAGGCCAAGTACAGTGAAGATCAGAAACACATGGAGTGAGGATCTTGGTGTTGAACTGTCTGAACGTGTGTGGGATAAATGTTTATCTAAGATTCACTCTTGTTCTATTAACAGCAGACATCAATTAATACAATTGTCCACCGTTTACATTATTCTAAATTCAGATTGCACAGAATTTATCCCACAACGTCGCCCATTTGTGACAGGTGTAACTCATCAGAGAGCACCCTGGCGCATGCTTTCTGGTCCTGTTCTTCATTGTACAGCTTTTGGGGAAAAGTGTTCAACTGGTACTCCAAAGCATATGGGATAAATGTTTCCCCTGAACCATGTCTTGCCATGTTTGGACTCTCGGACAATAAGAACTTTCCAGCTATAATGCAGACACCATTGGAACTGGGGACGATGGTTGCAAAAAAACTTATTCTAAGGGAGTGGAAATCCTCTGCTTCTCCATCGTTTAAAGTGTGGCTCTCTGAAATGCTCCTATTGATAAATATGGAGAGGATGAGGTCCTTACAGTCCTGTTCGATCAATAGATTTTCTAATATGTGGGATCCATTTATAGCTCATCTTGAAACAAGTAATTTTGACTAGTACTGTGTCATTACTATATTTCCTTCCTATTATTTTTATTATTTTTGTATTTGTCAACATGTAGAACTGCCAAATATTGATGCACCTGAGCCTGTTTGTCTGTTAACATTTTAAAAACCAAAATAAAATATTGAAAAAAAAAAAAAAAAGAAATGATCCAATATCACCTTTAGCCATTATATAGAAATTATCTGAATCATTTTTCAAACTTTGATTGTCTGAACAAACCACTTTGTACTAAATGCAGCGTCCATTAAAGGCTGCAGCTCTTTTTTTTTTTTTTGTTTTTTTTTTTTTTCTAGCACCAGTTTCAACTGTGCATGTGATTGTTTTAAATGAGTGACGAGCCACGGCTCAAAGATTGAGGAACACTGCTCTAAATGTCTGTAGTAACAAGATCATGCAGTTCAAACCAATAATTCTAATCTTCTCCGCGTCTATAACTTTAAATAATAATAATAGTTTTAATAATAAAACTCATCTAAAGCATGCACAAATATACTGCCATTCTAATCTTGTGTCTCATTCTAAAGTAAGAGTCTAATGACTTTGACTATTGCCTTGTAATCATTCATGCAGTTAAATGTAGTGTTATGAACGTATGACCTCAATGTGTAAATATGACCTAAATGTCCTATATGTCTCTGTGCGTTGTTGCCTGTCTGTATACAATACCTTCTGTCTGTTTCATTTGCCCAGCCACGTCCTCCTCAAATGTCCGTTAATGTCTTTCTTTTACTCATGGCGTCTTTCAATGTCTTTCTTTTACTCATGGCGTCTTTCAATGTCTTTCTTTTACTCATGGCGTCTTTCAATGTCTTTCTTTTACTCATGGCGTCTTTCAATGTCTTTCTTTTACTCATGGCGTCTTTCAATGTCTTTCTTTTACTCATGGCGTCTTTCAATGTCTTTCTTTTACTCATGGCGTCTTTCAATGTCTTTTGTCTCAAAGTGTCCAATGTCTTTTGTCTCAAAGTGTCCAATGTCTTTTGTCTCAAAGTGTCCAATGTCTTTTGTCTCAAAGTGTCCAATGTCTTTTGTCTCAAAGTGTCCAATGTCTTTTGTCTCAAAGTGTCCAATGTCTTTTGTCTCAAAGTGTCCAATGTCTTTTGTCTCAAAGTGTCCAATGTCTTTTGTCTCAAAGTGTCCAATGTCTTCTCTCGTGGTTTCTTTTTTTTTTTTTTTTCTCAATTACTTTTTCTTACTGGGCGGCACGGTGGCTGAGTGAATAGAATCTCGCCTCTCAGCAAGAAGATCCTGGGTTCGAATCCCGATCGGAACAGTGTCTTCCTGAGGGGAGTTTGCATGTTCTCCCCGTGTCTGCGTGGGTTTCCTCCGGGTCTTCCGGTTTCCCCTACCATTACTTACTACTTCCAATCTCTTTTTCTTGCAATGTCTTTTTCTTTCCATGTCTTCTTTGTCTCATATTTGACGCACACAAATGTGTTGTCGTGCTCTTCTGCTCGGCTCACACACCGTTCCTCTTCCTGCACATAACTTCACCCAGTTTGTGCAAAAGTCTGTGGCCTTTACTTTGCTGCAGATGATGATGATGATGCTGCTGCTGTTGCTGCAGCCGATACTGCTGCAGCTGATGATGATGATGATGCTCGGTTGTGGTTTGTGGCAGGGACGATTTTGGCGATCGGCCAATGAAACAGACAGAAGTTTTCTCAGAAAAAAACAGACAAACAAGAAACACAAACAAGTGTGTTAATACAATACAAAACCAATGATTAATTACGAATCTAAATAAACCTATGAAATAATTACTATTAACATTTTAAACATTAAATTCTGAAAACCAAATCTGTATTCAACTGCTATCCTAAGCCCTATTTTTCCAAAAGTATACTGTTCTTTAAGATCAGTTTAAATTTTATATCACCAAAACGTTGGGAAACATGTTTAATAACTTGTCTAGACGTTTGGAGATGGTCAAAAGAATAAAATAATGCCTCTTTATAATCTAACTCAAAGTTCTGTGATCATATGACTCCATGACAGTAACATTATCGTGTGTATAAATGTAATTTTCTACTAAACATATATTTGGTGTGCATCTCTCTTAACGGAGAGAGGGAGACAGCAGACAGAAGGAGGGAGGGGAGGGGCTGAGTGGCCTGTATGCATCAAGCATTTATCAGAGAGGGAGCCAGGAGGGAGAAGGAGGGGCTTTGTGGCTTCTCAAACAGAGGAGTACATGTACGACTGAAATACACCAAATTCATGAACATCCCCTTTAAAATTTGCTACATTTTCCTCGTTTTTTATTGAGACAATGTTTTATCAGTGGTGAGAGTTCTTTCACGTCAAACGAGGCTTTGCACTTATTTAAATACGTCAGTAATGGAAAACATTACAATTTGCTTACATGACTAATGCATCACTAGGTACAGCCGGATCTTTTTCGTAATACCTCTGTAACTATTGAAATGTTGCCCCATCAAAATGACCATTGAGTCCAAAGGGTTCGTTTTATATTTTATTTCGGTCTCAAAAGAAAAATAAGAATAAGAACAGGTCAAGAGTCGCACACACCAGGTCCCGCACACAGCCTGGCCGGGAAAAAGGCCTCTACACTGACACCTGTGTCTGATTATCCCTGGAGGTATATATTGAAAGCAGAAATCACGTGAGCTTAAGGGGTAGGGCATATAATAAATATTCCTACAATAATAAAATACTATTAAGAGAAAGCAGTGGAATTTTAGCGAATGACATGGTATAAATATTGTTATTTACAGTGAACCGTCATCCATACCAATAAAACCGTAAAGTGCTTAGTGCTATACAATAAAAATAAGTGCAAATACAGGCAGCAACACCCTCCCCCACTAAAGAAAAAAAATGTTAACCCAACATTTTCCCTTAGTAACTAGCGCCTTATAATTGCAGGGCTAAGCTAGCGAAATAGTTCATATCAGCACCTTAGGGGTCCAGATTAAATTAACAGTGTCCACTAATTCAAGGTCTCTTTTCACGGAGATACATCAGACAAGAAAGTCAATTTGTGATGCTGGGCGGCAAGTCCATAGAAGCACTGGTGGGCCCCCCAATCTTCAGGATTGACTCAAGGAAAACACCTTTTTACCCAAAATGTTTAAACATAAACCATGTCCAACAAGACTACTTAATTAGCATGTACTGTTCTGAAGTACCATTAAAGTATGAACTATTACTGCACAAAAACAGGGGCTTCAAAGTGCGACATGCAAAGGATATAGGTTGGCGGTGCCGTGGTCATCTCGGCCCCGGCCTGGACACACCGACTGGACAGCTCTGCAGTTCTCGGACAGTGGGCTCACCAAGATGATCGTAGGTGTACAGGCGTCTGGGCCGTCTGGCTCTGACTGGGCGGGGCTCTGGAGCTTCCTCAGAGGAGTCTGAGGTGGGAGTTTCTGGCTCTGCCTCCAGCACTGGTTCAGGATCAGCCTCTGGAAAGGCTTCTTCAGCTCTCTCCACAGGTGCAGCTCTCTGCTCAAGCTGTCCGGGTATGGGGGCCCTTGGCTGGAACTCCATAGCAGCCGGGTTGAGTGGCATGACGAGGTGGTAATCATCATCGCTTGAGCTCTCTGAGCTAGCTGGCTGGGTGTTACATCTAGCTCGCCTCCCTCGCACTGGTGACACCCTGGCTCTTTCTCTTCTCCTAGGACTGGGGACAACAGGGGCAGGTTCAACCAGGTAAGGACAGGGTAAGAGCAGGTTCCTGTGTAGTACACGCCTTCTCCCTGCAGCATTCAGAGGCTCAACTGTGTACACAGGGCTCCCAGGGCCTCTGCTCTCCCTTACAACATGGACAGTGTCCTCCCAGTGACTACGGAGTTTTCCCGGACCACCTCGAGGCGTGAGATTTCTCACCAAAACGTGGTCACCTGGTTTCAGGGTAGAGCTCCAAGTCCGCTGGTTGTAGTAGTCCTGCCCTCTCTTTGCAGATTTCCTCATGTTCTTGAGGGCAATGGCATAGGCTTCCTGCATGGCCGTTCTCCACTTCTCAGCGTAGCCAGTAGGGGTCGGTTTCTCTGCTTCACCAGGCTTCTGTGGAAACAGGAGGTCAACAGGAAGGGTTGGCTCACGGCCAAAGAGCAAGAAGAAAGGAGAGTAGCCTGTCGCCTCATGGATGGTGGAGTTGTAGGCATGAACAACTTTGTTGAGATACTCCTTCCATCTCGTCTTCTCCGTATCCTCCAGTGACCGCAACATGCTCAACAGAGTCCTGTTAAAACGCTCTGCAGGGTTAGCTTGGGGGTGGTACGGTGTAGTGCGAGAGTGATACATACCACTGTATTTTCGCAGCTTCTGAAACAGCTGGTTCTCAAACTCTCGCCCTTGGTCGTGGTGGAGTCTGGATGGAAAGCCAAAGCGTGGGATGAAGTCATCCCACAGCTTTTTTGCAGCAGTTTTCCCAGCCTTGTCTTTGGTGGCATAAGCTTGAGCGTATTTAGTAAAATGGTCCACCAAAACCAGTATATATTCTTCACCTCCCCTGGACTTCTCCAAATGTACAAAGTCTATTGAGACCAGCTCAAATGGTGCAGACGTCTCGATACTTTGCAGTGGTGTCCTTGTGACTCTGTTGGGCTTTTTCCTCTTAACGCAGCTGCAAACACGTGTGACGTAGTGCTCCATCTCCTGTCTCATTTTTGGCCAAAAGAAGCGTTCTCGAGCCAAAACGACCATCCGGTCAGCGCCCAAGTGTCCCATCTCCTCATGGAGGTACTTGTACACCAGGGCTTTCATGGACTGTGGCACCACAAGTTGCGTCTTGTTGTTGGTCCTCCTCCACAGGAGTCCATTTTCATCCAGCTGCAACTTTGGCCATTCCCTCAGGAGAGCTCTGACATGTTCATCTTCGGCTGCTTTATCTCTGTATTTCAGATGGATGTGTTTCCGTTTCAGGCTGGAGATCCTCTGGATGACTCGATCTGCATTCTGCTGGGCCAGAATATCATGGATAGAGAGGGGCTGGATAGGTTGTACAAGGCTGCCCTCCTGTGGCAAAACATCAGCATTACAGGTGATAGCAGAAATCCAGTTAATCTCACCCATTTGGCTGCTCTTGATGGCCTTACAAATGCTGTCCATGGCCTCTTGCCCACATTCCTCGGTGCACTCTAGAATGATTGTCTCAATCGGCTTGGGTCTGCGAGATAAAAAGTCAGCATCCATGTTAACAGTTCCTGGCCGGTACTTTAAAGTGAACCTGTAGTCTGCCAGCTCTGCCACCCATCGATGACCAGTGGCGTTTAGCTTTGCAGACTTTGTGACATATGTGAGTGGATTATTGTCGCTGTAGACAGTGAAGTGTGGAGCATGAAACAGGTAGTCACGAAAACGTTCAGTGATAGCCCATTTAAGTGCAAGAAATTCCAATTTACCTGAGTGCAGCTTGTAGTTCTTCTCTGCAGGTGTCAGGGTTTTGGATCCGTAGCCAATCACTCTCAAACCGCCTCCTTGACGCTGGTACAGCACGGCACCGAGTCCTTCTTCGGAAGCGTCGACGTGGAGGATGAAGGGCTTTTCCAGGTCTGGGTAAGCCATAACAGGTGGGGTTGTGAGTTGTTCTGTGATGGTCTCTAAAATGCCTTTGTGGGTCTCTGTCCATTGGACAGGTAGGGACGGTGAGAGCTGGGCACTGGGGCGTTTAGCCCCCTTCCCGTGGCAGTGTTTCAGCTCACCCTTGGGCTTTGTCAGCAGCTCGTACAATGGCTTTGCAATCCTGGAGAAGTCCTGGATGTACGTTCTGTAGTAGCTCAGAAATCCAAGGAGCTTCCGCACTTCCCTCACTGTCGCTGGGGTCTGCTGTGTAAGAGCCTTCACTGCCTCCACCTCTTTCGGGTTCATCCTGTACCCCTCAGCAGAGATGACACGCCCCACATACGTCACTTGTGGCTTGAATAACTCACATTTTTCAGCCCTGAGCTTTATCCCACAGGCTTTCTGTCTCTGCAGGACTTGTCGGACATTGTGCACATGTTGGTCAAAAGTGCGGCTGAAAACAAGGACATCATCCAGATATGGCACACAGACTTCATCCCTGAGGTCTCCCAGACATCCCTCCATGTGGCGTTGAAAAGCAGCCGGGGCATTTGAGAGTCCAAATGGGATTCTGAGCCACTCATAGAGACCCCAAGGTGTAATGAAAGCGGTGCATGCTCTGCTTTTCTCACCCATGAAGCCTTGGTGGTATGCTTTGCCTTGGTCTAAGACAGTAAACCAGGAATTCCCTCCCAAGTTTTCCAGGATTTCTTGGATCCTGGGGATGGGATGGCGGTCTGGCAGAGTCTTCTCATTCAGCAGCCTGTAGTCAACGCACAAGCGGAGAGAGCCGTCCTTTTTCCTGACACAAACTACAGGTGACGAGTAGGAAGAATATGATTTTGTTATCCAGCCTCTGTCTAACAAGTCCTGAATGTGAGACTTGACTTCCTGATACAGATGTCGTGGAATGGAGTTATATGTTTTTTGAACAGGAACAGGGTCTTTCAGACTTAGGTCCAACTGTAGGCCAGTAATACAGCCAGCGTCCCACTCATCCCTGGAGAACGCGTCACACTCCTCCCTTAGCATTTGCCGCACTCTGCGCTGCTCCTCTGCAGAGAGGTGGCTCAGGTCCACAGGCGGGTCCCAGGGCTCCCCTTCTAGTGATGGTGTGGTGCTGACCCCTGGTGGCTGACACTCTGAGGACTTGGGCTCCAATGGATAGACAGCATCAACATTATGTAACCAGCCCAGTGTTGTGCGGCCATACAGTGTAATATCAGAGTTTGTGGCGTTTTCAACAGTCACTAATCCTTGTGTTGGCCTGTGGATATTCAAGCAACTGCTCTCTCACTTTGAGTCCTGTTGGCCACGGTGTTTCTGGGTTGGGTTCCAACATGACTCGATGTCCACAAAGCGCACCCATTGTCACATTGTTACATTGCACTTGGATTGTACTATTCTTTGGGACAGTGATTGGTATTTTACCCATACGAGCAATGTGGGAATTGTTCTCAGGTGGCCGTTTCTTTAAAACTGTTAAAACAGCTCTAGCAGTTTTGGTCCCCACTTCAAATGCTGAACAGAGTCTCTTTATCATGTGACCGGCAGGGAGACAGCTCTCAGAGTCCCCACTTGTCAGCGCCAGCTCTTCAATCACATTAAATCCAATAATTGGACGCTCAAGCTCGGAAGAAGCTACAAGAATTGGGACAAGCACAGGTTTATCGCTCATCCCAGCCACAGCATTTTTACACAGTGTAAATTCCACTTCAATCCAGCCTTGGTAGGGGATCTGTGTCCCATTTGCCGCAGACAGGTCTAGTCCCTCCCCCAGTAACTCCTCCACAGGCCTCACTGTAACATCAGGTAAGTGTCTCTGCTTCCACTCTGCTCCGATGATTGAGACTTGAGAGCCAGTGTCCCACAGCACTCTGGTGTCAACATGGTTCATTGTGGCTCGAACAAGGCACCTTCTCCCCACTAGTTTAGCTGTCTGATGTTGTTTGCCAGTGAGGGGTGCTGTAGTGCAGAATAGATCTGTGTTCTTACCAAGATGTACACTGCTCTCAATCTTATTAGTGTAGGCTGAAGCATTTCTGGGTGCTCTGCGACAGCCAACGGCCCAGTGATCTACGCTCCCACATTTGTAGCAGTGGTCGCATCTCCCTTCTGGATTGGTCCGCTGGCACTGGTGACACAGTCGATTTGGGCGTGTCCTGTGTGGTTGTCTATTGTAGCTGTGGTCACCCTGTCCCCGTGGTGCTGGTGATCTGGGGGGCCGATGCAGGCCTGACAGCTGCGTGGTGAGGTTTTGAATGGCTTCACAGATTGCTCTATTCCCTTGTTCCACTTTTTCCATTAACGTGTCACGTTAATGTGATCGTTCTTGTTTCTTATCATTTTTAGGGGTGTTGTCAAGACTGCAATTCTCAGAATTTATTAAATGTGGATCATGACTCACTGCTGACACCTTGACCCTTGATTTTGCTGCCAGCTTGCTCTTCCTCTCCATCTCCAGATTATAGGCAGCAGTCATCTTCTCCAGCAGGACTTCATCTGGCACATTTGTAATTTGCAGATATGGTTTTAAATCTGTGCGGATGGTGTCGTCTTGGAGTCCAGTAAGTATGGTTTGTAGGAACTGGTTTTGAATGAGTTCTGGGCTGTACTGTAGTCCAACGTCTGCCCTTTCTGAAGCAAAGTGTATTTGCTGCCTCAGGTCCATCGCTCGGACTAAGAACTGGACTGGAGTCTCTCTAGGTTCTTGTGCAACACGAGTGAGGGAGCGATACAGCTCCGTGGCATCTTTTTCAACAAAATGAGTGCGTAATATTTGTTTCAGATTTTGTAAGGACAGTTCATCTCTATTCTCAAGATAGCTCTTTAGTTTTGTGCCTGGTACAATAGCTTGAATTACTGCATCAACGATCTCACATTCATCATATCCTTTCTTTAAAGCTTTTGTAATCTGTCTCTCCAAACTTGCATATCCCAGCTTATCTTTCTGATTGTGTTCACCAATCTGTCCATTAATCTTTAAGTCCTTCCTGTACATCGGGTGAACAACAGGTTGAGTCCTTTCAGACACATTATTAGCACCAGAAACAGTGGTAGAGGTGGGTTGTGTTATCACAGGTCCATGGTTATGTACAGTACCGGCAGTGTCCACCTGAGGGCGGTGTGGTGACGTGGAACCGTTAATATAATACATCCATGCGTGGAACCAGACGTTGAAGTAGCTTTCCTCAGTTCATCG